TCTGAGTTCTTCTTTGAAAGTTAAGACCACATAGGGCAGAAAAGAGGAAGAAGAAGTCCTTGGCATGGAGGAACTCCAGGAGTGGCTGATAGAAATTGACAATAGGCATGAAGGGGGCTAGAGAAAATATTTTATTTTTAATTTTTTAATATATTTTATTGATTTTTTACAGAGAGGAAGGGAGAGGGATAGAGAGTTAGAAACATTGATGAGAAAGAAACATCAATCAGCTGCCTCCTGCACACCCCCTACTGGGGATGTGCCCGCAACCAAGGTACATGCCCTTGACTGGAATCAAACCTGGGACCCTTCAGTCCGCAGGCTGACACTCTATCCACTGAGCCAAATCGGTTAGGGCTAGAGAAAATATTTTAAAAGTTGATCCCTTCTCCCGAATAAACGCCAAAACAAATATAGGAAAAAATGCATGAAAAGGAATTTTACCTTCAATTCTATTTTTTTCTTATCCCTATGACCACATTCCTCCTCTGTTACTCTCATCTTTCAACCAAGTTTTGAACTTTCCCTAAAAGGTTCCATTCTAAAGTGAATTAATTAGCACCTTCCTTTCCTCCCCTCATTTCCTTCCCTTACCTCCACTCTATCCAAAATGTCATTTTAACCTTTTCAAGTGGCCCAGATGACTGTTAGCTGGTTGACTGGTTGCTACTGTTGTGTGAATTCTAACCCACTCAATTCTACAAGTTATTAGCATTTTAAAGAAGGTTCCTTAATAAATCAAAGACATCTTTATTTGATATAATTTTTAGGATTAGATTAAAAGGCTTTCACATATACAGAATGTTGCACATTTGGGGACAGGGATATCTCATTTGGGGACAGGGAAGTTAGCCTGGATCAACCAGCCTAAAATTTCTATAGCTGATTACCTTTATCAAAAAGTGGCAAGTCAATTCAATGCAGGAACTGTTTATTTCAACAAATGGTACCGGATTAGTGGAATAACCACATGCAAAGAAATAAATCTTGACACATACTTCACAGCATACACAAAGTTAATTTCAAATGGATTATAGATCTAAATGTAAGGTAAAGCTATAGAAGTTCTAGAAGAAAATACTGGAGAAAAATCTCAGTGACCTTGTGTTTGGCCAATATTTCTTAAACACACAAAAAATATCAATAAATTGGATTAAAAAACACATGTTTGCTGCTTATAAGACATTGTTACCAAAATAAATGAAAACACTTAATGACTGAGAGAAATATTTATAAAATATATATCTTGCAAAGGCCTTTTATGTAAAATATATAAACAACTCTTACAATTTAATAATGAGAAGACAGACAACTCAATAAAATGGATAAAATCTTTGAATACTTATGTCACCAAAGAAGATACATGGATAGCTAAGAAGTACATGCAAAGATATTTAACAGCATTAGTCATTAGAGAAATGAAAATTGAAAACCACAATGAGAGATCACTATACACCTGGTACAATGACTAAAATAAAGACGATTGAACATACTAAGGGTTGGTGAAGACATGAAGAAAATTGAACTCTCATACACAATTTATGGAATCTAAAATGTATAATCACTTTGCAAAACAATATGGCAGTTTCATCAAAATTAAATATACAACTACACAATCTAGAAATTTCTCTGCTAGGTATATACCCAAGAGAAATAAATGCTATGTCCATACTTACACATAAATGTTCCATTTTATTTATAATTAGAGGCCCGTTGCAGGAAGATTCTTGCAAGAACAGGGCTTCCCCAGGCCTATTCTTGCAAGAATAAGGCTTCCTGAGACCAGAGTGAAGTAGAGAAGGGAGTGAAGCCCACCGAGGCGGGCTTCGCTCCCTTCTCCGCTGCCTCACTCCCTTCCTTCTCTGCTGCCTCGGCTTCCTCCTTTCTCTGCTGCCCTGCTCCCTTCCTTTTCCACTGCCTTGCTTCCTCCCGTGTCTGCCACTTCACTCCCTCCCGTCTCCACTGCCTTGACTCCCTCCTGAGTCTCTGCTTCACCTCCCTCCCGTGTCCACTGCCTCAGCTCCGCTCCCGTCTCTTCTACCTCCGATCCATTCCTTTCTCTGCCCCTTGGCTCCCTTCTGCAGTGCTTGGCTTCCTTCTACACTGTCTTCAATCTTCACTGGGTGCCTGTGTATGCAAATTAACTGCCATCTTTGTTGGGTTAATTTGCATACTCGTCTGATTGGCTGGTGTGCTTTTAGCGAAGGTACGTTCAATTAGCATCTTTGTCTTTTATTAATGTAGATAGACAAAATTGAAACAACTAAAATGTTCATCAAATTTTTGTATACCCATTATACTAGTAGTGGAATGGTACTCAGTAATAAAAAAGAACAAAATACTGATACATTCAACAACTTGGAAGAATATATATATATATATATATATACTAGAGGCCCGTTGCAGGAAGATTCCTGCAAGAACAGGGCTTCCTACGGCTGGAGCAAAGCAGAGAAGGGAGCGAAAACTGCTGAGGCGGGCTTTGCTCCCGTCTCTGCTGCCCGGCTTGTTTCACCCCTGCCTCCCTCCACCGCCTGGCTTGTTTTGCTACCGCCTCTGCTGCCTGGCTTGTTTTCGGCAGCCTGGCTTGCTTTGCTCCCAGCCGGTATATGCAAATTAATCGCCATCTTTGTTGGCGGTTAATTTGCATATCATGCTGATTAGCCAATGGGAGGTGTAGCGAAGGTACGGTCAATTACCATGTTTGGTTATTATTAGATAGCATAAAAGCCATCAACCAAACTGATACTCAAAGCAGAAGCTGACCCCTAGTGGTCAGTGGGCTCCCACAGCCAACCTTCCACGGCCGGCCAAACTCCTGATGTCCCTCTCCCCCTGCCGTCCAACCTGATTGGTCCAAACGCTGGCCATGCCGAGGGACCCCACCCATGCACGAATTCATGCACTGGGCTCTAGTCTGAAAATAATTATGCTGAGAGAGGGGAAGGGATCTCAGTCCTAGAACCAGAAGGAACAGAATTCTCCCAATTACCTGAATGAGTTGATTCTTCCCCAGGTCTCAGGCAGCTGGTGGTTGATGTTGTTTTTTTGAGACCCTAAGCAGAGAATCCAGCTGAGACATGTTATGTCCTGACTTCTGACTTCTGAAAATCATGTAAAATAAAAAACTCTTTAACCATTCTTTCCAACTAGATTGAATTGATGGAATAATCTGCAAGGGATCATCCCGTTCATCACTAGTTTTTTTCTGCTGTTGCTGTGGTTGTTGAAAACAGTTTATAATTCAGTTTTCTCCTTTCCTAGAAACTTACTCTGATTCGCAGAGAAGAAATCACTATGATTGAGAAACACCTCTGAATGTCCTGCCTAATTGATGTAAGCCAGCAGTCATAGCGGAGAGGCCACTTTTCATCACTCTTTCCAGATATCACTACTTACTACTTTAGATGACTGCAGATGTTTTGGAATATATGTAGGCTTATTTGCTTTTTTTCTGGTTGTGCTTAAACTCTCTGCTTTTCTCTGTTCTTTTCTTTGTGCAGTAGTCTGCCCACACTATGAGAAAATACCATAGACTGTGAGGCTTAAACAACAAACATTTATTTTCACAGTTCAGGAGGCTGGGAAGTCCAGGATCAAAGTATTGCTCTCCTGGTGAGACTCCTCTTCCTGTCTTGCAGACAGCCGCCTTCTTGCTGTGCCTTGTTTGTTTCTTTGTTGTTAAATTATTTTCTTTTTCTATATAACATCTATCATTGCTGCTCCTTTGAATCAAAGCCTGGCTTTTTGATGTCATCCTGACAAGAAGTCTCAAGATTCATAATTAGAAGTACCTTCTACAACATTCCAAATTTTGAAAAATATTTTAAAAGCTACACTCTTGTGTTTCATGCTGCATAAAGTAAAAAAAAATAAATAAATAAGGTTTTGAGTTTTTTCCAGTGGCAACTGTCAACAAATTCTTAGAACAAACGTAATTAAATTTTTATTTACCCCTATACTTAATGGCATCATTAACAGTTCTACACTTTATAAAGCACCTGGTCTAGTGCCCAGCCTATGGTTTTTGAATAAAAAGAAAGGTGCATACTTTTGTGTTTTTATTGATTTTAGAGAGAGAGGGAGAGATAGAAACATCTATGGGTAAGAAACATTTACGTGGATTGGCTACTTCCTACATGCCCCCTGCTGGGGATCGAGCCTACAACCCTGGCATGTGCCCTGACTGGCAATGGAACTGTGACCTCCTCATTTATGGGTCAATGCTCAACCACTGAACCACACCGGCCAGGCACTTTGGTTCTCTTTGAATAATAGGTAAGAGATTTCTAGTCACCACAACTGTTTCTCTACTTTTCCTTGACTAGTAGTTAAATATGTATTGAAAAAGCAGTTTTAATGGGTTAATCGAATATTACTCTAAAAGGAGGCCCTATATTATGAATGAATGCAAGTGTAAAACAAGTATAAACAGTTACCATTAATGGCATTGTCATATCAGAAAGCTGCCAGAAACACTATGCCAGAGCCTCGTCTTCCTTCCAAGCATTGTAAGTAATTACCACCATGTTACTTGAAAACAGCACTCCCCAAAGTGAGAATCATTTAACACTAAATCTCATTTAAATGACCTCTCCAACGTCTTATAATAACAGCAGATAAAACAACAATTAAGCTACCTTAAGAAAGAAGTTGAGGCTTGCCAAAATCGTAGACATCCTGCTGGTTACCATTCTAAAAGTTTCATTTTCACTCTTTCTTATCTGGAGAATGTGGTTTAGAAAGGAATTTCTGGCTGCTGGTCCCAGGAACATGATGCCTAAACTTAAACCCAACTGCTGCAAAGTAATGAGATGAATGGCCTTGTTCCTCCTTAAGAAAGTTGACTCACGTATTTACAAGGAAAGAGAACGGAATTGTTTCCTAACTTCTTAAAAAAGAGTGCTATTCTAGCATTGTACGGTTACATTTCAGCTTGACATGCTGTGAACTTGAATTCAATGGGCAAAAAACTTAGAAAACACTCCTCAAAAAGCATGTAAGGATTTAGCAAATATTTATTTATCATCTATGTTAAACTAAATGGAAATTGTACATAATGGTACAGATGAATTATGCAGTGCACAGTGGCAAATCCATGTGACAGTCAATGGTCTTCGCAGCTTGCCACCAGATGATATGTCTCATGGCTTATAATCCGTGAAAAGAAATAATATGGCACATGCTGTTATGGACCCAGGCAAGCACAAAAAAGGAAGCCATACAGACAAGAATATGCCGATATAGTACTCTAGCTTATAACTAAGCCATTTAGACAAACAGAATACATTTGGTTTACAATGAGAGCCAAAATATAATGCTATCTTCCCAGAAAAATAAAATAAACATGCCAGCTTAAATAACACACTACATTCAAAAGAGTGTTCGTGGAAATCTAGTATTTATATCTGATTTAAATGCAACAATGCTGTCCTTAAAAATGAGCACTGCTTTTGAAAAATTATCTCGATGTGATACTCCGCTGTAAGAAAAAGAATGACTTCCCACTGCATCATAACTGCAGCACTTCTTCGTGATCTCAAATACCTACACAATGCTAAGTAATTTTCTTTATCAGGCTAAACACAACTCATTTTTAAGGACAATGGCTGCTGTATCTGTTTCATGCGAAACACCAACACTCAAAATGATTTATTGTATTTTACAAATTTTACAAATGTTCATAATCACTATGAAGATTTACAAAACCCTACACCCTATAGCAAATATTAAGCACAATAAAAACATCATAAGTACTCAACTAATTTGGGGAAGGAAAAACTCTCATCTATATGGAATTGCCACTTACTAAGTAGGCAAAATCTTTCTTCCAGAGCCCTCATTAGTATCTATTTCTATTTTTAATCCCTGTTTCACCATGTTGATAGCCTTGTGCTGAAATATTCAGTAATAAACACAAAAGAAAAAGTCGCCATCTATGACGGTAGGCATGGAAGAGGCGTCGCAAATCATGACGTAAAATACCTTCCAGTTGAAATCCTCCCTGCCAACAAACCTGCATCTGTAGCTCAATGGGTGATGTAGGTGTTCATTGTGATGTCAAGGCTCATCCATCCACAGGTACCCTCTCAACCGAGAATAACATAGAATAGGCTGGAGAAGCAGGAGACAGTCCCTGCCTGGAGGTGCCCCATTTGAAACTAGGGTCGGTGGAGAAGATTCTTTTTCAGCTGTCTTTTCCCAGAGGGAATCTTTCTCCTTCACTGAGTTTGTGTCTGGAGAAAATGAGGTGGGGTTGGGGCAAAATCTGAATTCTTCCAGGTAGTTAGGCATGCCTTTCCCAAGTTCAAGAAAGAGGGGATAAATATCAATTCATTTGTGATTTTCCAAGCCTGGACATTTCTGCAATGAGATTCTGAATTTGAGTTTTAATCCCAGAAAAAACAAACAAAAGACCTGAAATGTGTTTTTGTGGTACATTTCAGATTCTCAAGGACAGAACAACATAAATTGTTGGCTTGTCCTTTGAGAGGGCAATGCATTTTTCTCAAAGTACGTCATGATGTGTGTATGTGTGTGTGTGTGTGCACGTGGTGGGGGGAGTGATGGAAGTGGGTGTGTGTGGGGGGTGCAGAGAGAAAATTGAAACACGAAGCACATGTATATACATATACCTGTATATACATATATATGGAATTTAGTGCTTTCACTGAATTGTGTATTTGAGTCTTCAAAAGCTTATTTGGTTTGTATTTATTTTTTTCAGAATCAAGTTTAGCATTTTAAGTAAAATATATCTTTTTTCTGGTTAATAGTTTTAGTTTAAAAGCATGTAGGTCCATTCAATTCTTAAGACGCATCATAGAAAAGTTATTTTCCTCAGTTTTAGTTATCCAGTTGTCAAATATTTTAGTTCATAAGTGACATTGTCATTATTATTAACTGGTTGTATGTGTGGAGATTAAAATGATAACTACTTATGCCTTATCTGCCATAATTTTTTTCTTAAATTTCAAATACAGGAGAAAAATCCTGCTTTCCCTTCTCTTGTGTTAATGGAAGAATATTTTCAATAAATTATGTTTATTGACTTATCTGTTCACGTTGAGTGTTTTGGACATAACCTTTGCTAAGGGTCTTGTAATCTGTGGTTATGGTTCTATTTCTCTACATCTGGCAGCTTTACTGAAATACATCTTTTTAATGAAACTTTCAATACATTGTTTCCAGTTAATATTGGTGGGCAGCAATGACCTCCAGTGGATTCTTATGTACATAGCAACTGAGTTTTTCAGAGAACGTTTATTTTCAATATATTTATATCTTTTAGACCTTTTGTAGCTGGGCAGCTTACTGAATGAACTCTTTAAAGTTTCTTGAAACATTTATGTATTTGGTAATTTTAGAATAAAATGGAAAGACATTACAAGTTATCAACACTTGGACTTTCTTATTTATACATCCTCTAAGCTAATTTTGAAAACTAAAATGAATATTATTCAAGATTAACATTTAAATAGTCATACTTGTTTTTATATGTAATCCACTTGCTTTTAATTTTTATTTAAATGAAAAAATCTTAAAAATTATATTTTAGAAAGGTAATTGCTACATAAAAGAGAAGAAAAAACTTCAGGAAATAAACATTTTCAATAATAAAATCTCCTGATACTATTTATAAGAGAAAAGTAAAAGTGCTCTGAACATCTTGGGAATTAGGCGAACTCATGAAATAATTTTCCATTTGTTAATATAAAATAGAGGAAAATTTGACATCTCAGAGCAAAATGCTTTAATATTTTTTTCAGAAATAAAGATTATGTTTCTGGAATATATTTTATATTTCAGGAAAGATTACTTAGAAGACATACAATTTAAGTTTTTATAGAGCTTCAGTGCTATAATATCATTTTTGGCTTGTGAGGTAATAAGTTATTAACATCTTAAAGCATGACATAAGCATTAGCGCATCGTTATTTCAGTTAGTTTTTTTTCTAAAATAGGATTAGATATACTACTGAGAAACTTCCAAATCTTTACTAGACAAATTGTAGAGGAATATACTTTTCTACCAGAAGAGGGCAGCAAAATTTTTCAATAAGAGTTCTAACAGTAAGTCCATCTGTTTTGACATTCTTTGAGATCTTTCTGAGAAGTTACCTTCACTTAATTCTTCTCTTCACTTTATGGTGCAATGAATGTTTTATGAAGGGCACAATTGTCAAGGTGATCACAATTTTTCTTTCATGGTTTACAATAATTACAACACACCTTGGCTCATGGCTTTGACAACACTAATACAATCATTTTTAAAACGTACAGACAGTTAACATGAGAATATTAAACTATCTGATACTATGTGTGGAGGAAAGGCAAAATTCAGAAAGATTAAAACATTTATTTTTATTTTTCCATGATTATTTAAATCTCAAAATTTTCATCAATATTCCCATTATCTTACGTCTAGCAAGAGTAAAGTAATAATTGCCTTGGAAAAGCAGTCAAGTACTCAAAACTACAACTATCGTCACTTTTTGATAAATATAATGTGAAACCATTGAACCATACACTTATTTTTAAAAAAAAAATTAGTTAACTTATATGATGTTTAACCAGTCAAATGAGTATGTAGAATAATTTATCATAACACCTCTTAGTCATTTCTGTATTACAGAAAAATCTTTTTAAAGTAATGCAAAGAAGTTGGATGATTTCTCATTCTTTTTTTTCTTTTGCTTTTAGGTTTCAAATATAAATCCTTCAGAATCCAGTGGATTGTCTCACCTCCTCAGGAGTCCAGAGTGTGCCTGGGCAGGCGATAGTGCTCTGCTTTGGGACGGAGCTTCTTTTCCTGTGGGTTAGCATACTTCCACTTGGAAGGTGACATTTTATGCTTTTTCCTCTTCTTATCTGTGCACCAGACCTTTTCACAGTATTCTTCCACTCTCTGGAAGTTGCTATAACCAATCAGCTGCAAGAATTCCTTATACCATGGCTTTGCTCCGTGCGGGATACTACTGTGAGCTGGACAAGGCATCTTGGGAGGCCTGTCCTCTTCGTAGTCTTTGTTAAACATTTCCTCCACGCGCTCCTCTTCTACGACCTCCAGGGTGATTTTTCGGACAGTGTGGACAAAACTATGCTCTACTGTCTGGCAAAAATATGTACCAGCATCCATTTTGCGCACCCTTAGGAAGAGTAAACCGAGGTCCATCTTAACCACTCTATCATCTGTCTTCACCTGCAATAACAACAACAAAAAAATAATGACACTGGACTATCATCCAGAAGATTATTATACCAACCTATAATGTATCTTTATTTTGTTCATTTTCATTATAACATGATGAAATAAATGTCATATATATGAGAGAGGGGAGGGGCCTAATTAAATAAATCAGTTCTCCCTCTCTCTGAACTAAATTATATTTGAGGTCACTTTAAGGTCATTTTACATCCACATATTTTTAATATGTTTTTATTGATTTTAGAGAGCATGAGAAAGGGAGAGGAAGAGAGAGAGAAACATCAACGAAAGAGAACCAGTGATTGTCTGTCTCCTGCACATCGCTTACTAGGAATCAAGCCAACAGCCTGGGCATGTGTCTTGACTGGGAATCCAACCAGTGATTTTTGTGCATGGGATGATGCTCAATCAACTTAGCTACACTGGCCAGAGCCATCAATATTTTTTAAGAGCAAAGTGAGTGAGCTTTCAATTATTAGAAAAATATTCAGTTCTATATAGCACTCAAAGTTAAAGTGAAATGACAATTTGTAAAATTTGTTTAATTTCTTTTTTAATGGAAAGAACAAATTCCATTTCTCAAATTATTAGTTCAGGGGTTCTTATGTGTTTCAGATAAGAATGACTAATGTTACTACAAGGATTTCTATTTAGAGAGCTGGACTACCTTCACCCTCTCTCCTTCTAAAAAAAAAAAAAAAATCTAATCTCTTAATTATTCACCTCTACATTTCCTTGAGCTAAAAGACAAACTGTTATATGTTTTCATGTGGCCCAGGATCACATGATGCTGGTATAAAAGTGATTTACACTGTACTCTCTGATTTTCCCTTTGACAATACAAAACAAGAGCAGTATTCAACTTTGCCAATATAATAGGGCGTAGCAGCCACAACCACAACCACGTTGGCAGCAAAGGCCATTCCAATAAGCATGTTTTTGAGCCAGTAGTAGGTCCTGGCATGGCCTACCAGGATCAGCTCTCCCAGGCCTTGGTCAGTTTGGCCATGTCCAAAGTTGCAATATGACTGACTCATCATACATGATTACCCATGTGTGGTCATTTATATAATTGGTGATAATGTGGAAAATGGCCTTAGTGCTAGAGTGAGAGTTTGTACCACAAATGGGAATGTTAATGATAAATTACAAGGCTCCCTGGGGCATTTTGTCAGCTGTGCAAGGTAAATTAATCACTCAGAAGCTTCAGAGTGACATAGTTGGATGACAAAAGGAGCTCCATATGTCCTTCATAGGTGCTTCCCTTGACTTGGAAGGACAAACAAACTGTAGGCCCTGGCAGACAAAATGCTACAGTCATTCACTCAAGAAGTTCTCCAGTGAGGGGCCAGGAAGAACCCTCAAACCAAAGCTTTTATTGTACATGGAAACAATAAAACCTAAAAAAGAGTTTTACTGAGAATCTAGCCTTAGCACCTGCCACAACCCATAACTCTTAAAGGACTTTGAGTTGCTCTGCTCAGTTTAACTGGGCCTTTTGCCAATTTTCCCTTCACCACTAGCTTTCTCCATGTACTGCAACCTGCCTATGACCACACCATGCTTCTCATGATACTGACTCTGAAGGACAGCATCCATTGTTTTTAAACTTGTGGTAGCATTTGACATAATGGACTGGCCTACTTAACTGTCTTTTTTTTTTTCTTTTTTTTTTTTCTGTGTAGTATAAGCCATTATACTGTCCTGGGACTTTTCTTGGTGTCTTCTATAGATCTCTCATTTCCTCTAAGGCACAATCCTCTGTCCATCTCTGATCTCATGTTTTATTTGCATCCATTTGATAATTCTTCTATTTCCTAATTTCAATCAGCTTCTTTAAAATGGTACAACTTGCACATAGATAATCCATTGGTTTTTTTGTTCCCTATAAATTATGAAACACTAACCGAGACTTATCTGATCCTTCATTATATACAATTCAGTGTCTTTTCACTTAGACTCCCCCCAATTACTTATTTCCCTATTTCTGACAATTGCATCATCATTACATCATCATTATTCTATAGATACTTCAGATAGTCACTCTATCTGAAAGTGTTTATCATGTACAGGGTGTCCCCCCAAAATGTATACATACTTTAACAGCTGATAGCTCAATTTTGAAAATGAAATGTATTTTAATAAACACTGCCTTTATAATGATTCAAAGTCTGCATACATTTTTTGGAACACCATATATACTTCTCTCTCATTATTATCCTCATATCCGACAGATCTCAAATCCCCATCAACATTTCTTCACTGGTGAGCATCAGAAACATCCACTCCATTTTATTATTTTTGCTACAATGCTAGGCTCATACTTCATGACCTGTTCGTTGACCTTATCTCATGGCAGACTCTCCCCAAATCTCCCTTTTTTCTGTTCTTGCTTTCATGCCCAGCTGGATTCTGTTTCAGAACCTATAATCTTGTCTCTGTCTAAAGAAACATCCCAATGTCTGGCCTGATTCCTTCTCATTCAGAAAGGCCGACCTAAATGTTCTCTCTTCAAACAGGCCTCCCTCACACCCCTATAAAAGTGTCCTTATTTCCTTCTTATCATCATTTCACTTGTTAACTTTTCTATGCCTGAACAAGCATCGTTATTTGCAAATATAAACAGCCCTTGCATTAATTTTCTTCTGATTGGTAGCTTTACCCTTTATTTCAACAAATGAGTACTATTTTACTCTTCTTCAAAGTTCACTTCCTTTTGTCTCGCTCCTGATTGGGTGGTTATTCAGACTCTCTGTTGCTTGCCTGAGCAGGTGAGAATTGTCCAATTAACCAGATCCTGCCTTTGTAAATCTATATCCCAACAGCTCAAGATAGAGCTTCTCAGACTGGGGTTGGTGGAATAGTTGCATTTCTGCGATCAATGAGTTTTCTATAAGGATTTCTTAGATTAGTGTGATTATTTCCATTCTAATCAATATACATTTTAAAAGAACTATATTTGGGATCATGTGGAAGATCCTAATTGTTAGTATTTGTGTTTATCGTAGATCTGATCCACGTTCAAAGCTTTGAGAGTTTCCAGCTGCTAAGGAGGACAAAGATGGATTTAATATGTTAATGATATGTTCCAGCCAAATGAAAACCAAACAGCATCCTTATGTAGTAATGCATATAAAAAGTTTTGAAGTCACTTGAATAAAGTGTTAAGGGGATTGAGTCATCACATGGCACACAGTGCTATAGGCAGATGTTTTATATATTCACATACACACATATGTGGTAGTCTGCATCCCATTTTACTTCCACGGAGATACCTCATTTCAGTGAAAAAAAAAATCATCCAATTAAATATACATTTAAATGATGTATAAATTTGCTTATATTTTATTTGTAAATATGTTTGTTTTTTATTTGAATAAAAGTTACAAGTATATAGGATGCATTTCTGGTTTGATTCTTGTGAACATTTAATAAACATTTTAATACAAGTCATGCTACCGGCCCGAGAACAATGCTATAATTTAAGGACAGGTAGTGGGGACAACTTGCAGAATAATAGAGTCAAATCCTCCCCTTCAAACTCCTTCTGCTTTCAGTCCCCTGTCTTGTGATCTAATTTCCCACTTCCATGTCTTATTCCTTCTTCTCCTTAGTAAACTCCTTTCTACCGTTTGTCAATCCATTTTTAAAATTTCCTGCCAGGCTTAAACTTTCACATCTTAAATGAGTACTTTCTTTATGGCCCATATATATGTTTTGTTTCTTTTTGTAACTCAAAAGCATTCATATTTGTAGCATACAAGATGGTATTTATAATCCTCTTCAAATATTTTTTCATGAAAGTTTCATCTCTTTAATACAGGGCGGGGCAAAAGTAGGTTTGCAGTTGTTCATGTGGAAAATAATACAAACTATAATAATATAAGCATAATATGCTAATGAGACCAGATAGCCAAACGACCTTCTGGATGTCATTTCAGACGTCCTTCCAAATGAAGCCATGGTGGCGGGGGCCAAGACAGAGGTGGTTAGGGGTGATCAGGCAGGCCGGCAAGCAGTTAGGGGAAATCAGGCAGGCAGGTGAGCAGTTAGGGGCAATCAGGCAGGCAGGCAGAGGCAATTAGGGGTGATCAGGCAGGCAGGCCAGTGGTTAGGGGTGATCAGGCAGGCAGGCAGAGTGGTCAGGGGTGATCAGGCAGGCAGGCAGGTGAGTGGTTAGGAGCCATGGACCTGGGTTTAGGTCCTGACCAGCAGTTGGATATACCCCAAGGGGTCCCAGATTGCAAGAGGGTGCAGGCGGGGCTGAGGGACGTCCCCCCCTCCCCCCCCTGTTCATGAATTTCATGCACCAGGCCTCTAGTAATCTATAATAATAAAAGCATAATATGCTAATTAGACCAGATGTCCTTCCAGATGTCCTTCTGGATGAACTTCCAGACAAAGCCAGGGCTGTGAGGGAAGCCTGGGTCCTGGGTGCCTGCCGACGCCCAGAGGGAAGCCCGGGTGCCAGGTGCTAGAGGGAAGTCAGTGCTGGCAGCCAGGGAAAGGAAGGCCTACTCTTGCACAAATTTCGTGCATCGGGCCTCTAATTAATAAATAATAATATAAGAATAAACTCTGTTTACTCACAACTGTAAACCTATTTTTGCCCCACCCTGCATAATAAGTTTCATAAGGGCAAAGACCTACCTCTTAATTATTATGATTATTCCATAATGAGTAGAGTGCTATGAACATAGTGAAATGAAAACTTATTAATCTGTTCAGAGTATACTAGCAAGACAATGAGGTATACCAATAAGGATATAGTAATTCACCAAGTAATTCACCATTTCTATATAAACCCAATAAGGATCTGGCTAGGAAAGAAGCAAGCATAATTTGAGGAACAATTAGCAACTAGTGTAAAGGGCTATGTATGCTTCACAGATACATAGGACAACCAGCTCTGGGAAACTGCCTTCACCTGAAAGCATCTGCACATAAACATCCTCACTGGATATGATGATCCTTGGTTCTCTCTCTGCTAAATC